TACTACCGCAATCGTAGATGCCACCAACACCGTTCAAAGCGGGCTGTTGCTGCTCCCGCTGCTGCTGCGACTGCTGATGCGACTGCCGGTACGGCTGCATCTGCGACTGCTGTTGGTACGGCTGTTGCTGTCGCATCTGCTGCTGCGNGTGCACCATACTGGCGTGTCAAGTATCCTTCATCCTGACAACTGACAACGGGAACCTCAGCACTGCCGAAGATTGTGTGCTGGAGATTGTGGTTGTCCACGTAGGCCAGAAAGCGTCTCCGCCAACTGAGAAAAGTGTCGGCGGTGCAATTAGGCGGGATTCTAGGCACAGGAGTTCTGACAATTGTACCTCCCAGAGGCAAGCCCGGCACCCCAGTACCGCCATCATGACTCACCCCGCCTGGCCACATTGACCTCACCGGTGCAGATGAAGCCCCTCCAGGAGCAACTGGACCGTCGCCTCCTGAGCTGCTGCCGGCAGGTGCACCCGCAGACCGCCGCTGTGCTGCCCTAAGCTCCTCCGTCTCAGCTTTGGCCTCCTTCGTCTCAGCCTTGGCCTCCTCTATAGCTCGTAGCGCCTCATCCAACCTCGCGCTTAGAGTTGCGTTCTCCTCCGTTCCAGAACATACCAAACTAAAACTCTAAACCCTCCCTGCTGTCCCAGCCTCGAAGTGCTGTCCCAGCTATAAACCCTGCTGTCCCGGTCCCCGCAATGGCCACCGCACCAGCTATGCACTGCTGTCCTCGCCCCCTTTGGCCGCGATCCCAGCTATGAAAATGGTGTCCGCTGCCCCGATGGCCCAGCTCCCACCGCTCAGACGCCAATACCCACTACCAACACCAGGCCTTACAATATATTGTGTTTGGGTGCGGTAGCTCGTCAGAGGCCGAAAGAGAAAGAAGGTTGACTCAAGACCTTGTTGCTTAGAGAGTAAGAGACATGCGGTAGGCCACACCATCGCCATGCAGCATGTCCGTCAATACATTCCGTCCGCGTACCCCCCGGAGGCCCCGTAGACAGTATACTCTGCCGAGCACCCCAAACACTATATTTTCATGAAGCTTCCTCTTGGTACAATTTTGAGGATAAACTGTTTCGACGGAACTATGCCGAGACGAATCACGATTGCTTGCTCATAGGGTAGTGCGGTCTGGTTGGTCGATAGGAGTGTAAAACGCGACCTAGCGTTTGCTCGGCAGTGGTGACCTACACATTTCCCCACATTATTTCTGGGTACTATACAAGCACCGTTGTCGTTGGTTCTTACTCAAGCCTTCTGCCGGTATCGTCGTCGTTGTCGCAGCGGTCCTCGGAACATCGTAGAAGAGGCTGGAAACGCAGTCAAAAACGCCAAAATCTGAAGTCGACCCAGACCCCATTTTCTTCCCTTTCTCCATCACTGGTAGCCGGTCACAACGCCTCGCTCCCGCCGAGAATGGCCTCGCAACTGACGGTGGAAGGGTACGTCGGAAGAGGGGGCTCGCACTGACACCACCTCCATCCAGGCTCAAATACGGCGGTATTTCGTCCAGCCGCCACCGTCCATCTTGCTGTTGCAACCGCCTTCCTAGCAGGTACTCCTCATTAGAAAGCAAAGTAGCAGCGACAGACGTGCTCCCGGACGATTGGCACAAAGCGACCCAGGCCTCTTTGTTTGTAATCCCCATTCTTCCCCGGCCGCCGGCCCTTTTGAGCTCCGCAATGGATTGCCACACACGCACTCGATCGCGAAAGCTCGGCCGTTCAACGCACACTCTTGCCCAGGATTGTTCCCAAGCGGCTCGTTCTGGACAACGCCTATTTGGTTGTTGTTCGGAAATCCTGCCCAACGATGGTGTCGCGAGTTTTGTGCCTTTCGAGCGCTGTCTTTTACTGATGTGAAAGGAGATGTTGCTGTCTTCGTTTTCTTCATGGGGTGAGTCACCGGGTCCTTCTTGCTGCAGAAGCTTGTGCCGCGCTAGCGCCCCTCGCCAGATTGCCTAGATGTAGTTGTATTGGACACCGCAAACACGCGAGTTGGTACAGCTGTCATTGCTGGATCTTGTCGACGAGATAGTCTTGAATATGGGTTTACAGTAGCGGAGGGCGGTGGGCGAGTCGTGGAGACGACTTCATCCTACAGCCTCCGACGTATAGCACCTAGCGCGAGGAGTATCTCACAAACGTGGACTTGCAGGATAAGAAAATCGCAGATGGGGATGATCCTTCGATAAATCGCCGTTTGCAACTCGTGTTCATGTTTTTGTTTGTCGGCCGTACTCCGCGTACTTATCGGGACTTGTTTGTGTAGTGTATTAACTTCAGACGGTGAGACAACGCCCGTACCCAGGACGCTGTCGTGCTCGGAAAGCAGGAGGAGAAAGAGAGAGTGGCAGCGCGGCTGCTGCACTCAACAAAGGGGGTCCCGGTGCATCATCACCGTACCCCTACCTAAAAGGTTCTACACCATCTGCGTCACACTTGTACGTATGGCTAATGTATCCAAACCATGTCCGTAG